TACACGAATTAAATATTCTATTTATCACATACCCAAAATAAAGACCGTTTAAAGTGAAACAAGAGTCATTTTCCGTTGACGCGCCTACAGTAAAACGCTAACATTTAGCGCGTCTTTACACTATGTTTGCATAACGCTAATGACGTCACGTCAAAATATATGCACGGCCGTGCAATACCATATTTACGGAGTCGCAAAATCGGCACGGGTGTGTGATAAAATACTTTAAAAAATGGGCAGTTCAAATTAAAATGTCTGGGGAAAAAATACGGAATTTAGTTTATCAAAGAAAAAAAAACAACAAAAAACAATTAATACCCTTAATCAATTACCAGATGACTTGATACTGCTATGCCGTCCAACCAAATGACTTACCAATCAAACAAACGCCAAAAACAAAATAAACCGAATAAATCACACGACAGCACTCACTTTCAAACAAAAAAATACTTTCACGCGAATTGGTTCTGGGTGTTAATTTGTTAGTTTAGCAGAAAAGTACAGAAATAAAGATCAGAAATAGAGCATAATATATATTCAATACACAAAGTAAACAAACACAGTAATCAAGATCCTTAAATTTTTCTAAATATCTTTTTCAATGTAAACAAATAATTGAAATACCCGAAAGTTTTTTATATCTATCTAAATATATCTAAACTATTAATTTCATTGTATAAACCCAGATCAGTAAATCAATGTTTATTCAATATAGCCAGTGAATCACCAAATATTTACAAACAGAATAATAATATATATACAAATATATAAAAAAGCACACAACAAATAAACAGTAGCGGTATTTTTAAAAAAGATTTATCAAATTATGAACGAAATGGAATTAGGTTTCTTGTATCTAGTATTATCTATCCGAAATTTATGGTTTATCCTAAATTACCTAAAGAAAAATATGAAAGATCGCGAAATTGTGTGACAAAATTACATTATCGTTGTTTACATAAAATAAATCAAATGACAAGTCCTATTTAATGAAAGAATCAAAAATTTACCTTAAAAGAAACTGAATTAAACCAAAAATCTACTTAATATATGTATAAATATAAAGAAATTTACCTTGTTATTAAATTTTCCGAAACAGGTCACACAAAATTTGGAATATGGGCCGAAAGTAGTACCTAAGTTAACACAGAAAAATAGTTCTTACTAAAATTGAAAAATACCGCCAAAAACAATAAAAATATACAAAAATAAAATATCTACTTACATATATATAAAAATCCGTAAATATTCACAATTAAAATACACAAATATCACAGTTCAAAGTTCCAAATTCCTCCGCGTCCTAGATTTTGCACTCTTCTCCAGCTGATTTACTATTTACAAATAAAAGTCTATATATATTTACATGTATCTCTGTCGTTGTGGCGCGAAAGAGCTCTATGAAAAAAATGATGGGGGTGGGGGAATGGGGGTGGGAGGTATACCTATGAGATGAAATTCAAAGTTGATCTCTTCTACTGCTGGGCTGACAGCCGCGGATAGGGAAGGATCCAGCTGCTTGGCCTGGTCTGCTCTGCCACGGTCAGCGCTGCTCTCCCCCCTCTGCCAGAAACAGCTCGCCTGGTTCTTCTTTTCGACGTCGGGGAGCCAATTTGTAGTGGGGGGTTCTTACAATAAATACCTTGATATGTTTATATATGTTTATTCAATAAAGAATAAAACCTGTAACAAATAAAATAAGCATGAGACATCACATTACAAAGAAATATAATACAAGACAACTACATTTCACAAAATACATAATACACAATATAATACAACAATTCAAAATAACAATAAAAACAATTTCACAAATAAATAAATACATATATACATACCAGGCTTGTAATAGAAGAAATCTAATGAAATAATAGAAATTAGAATCAAGTATTTCTATAAAGAAATTACTGAAAGTTAAATATTTTTATAGTTGTTATCACTTCGAAAGCGAGACAAGGAGTGGTCTGAGTTATTAAGAAATGTTATATTCCAGAACCAAATCATTTTAAAAATAACTTGTAAACCAAAAAAATCTCCTACTTAAAATTTGGGAAAAAACCCGGGTTTAATCACTCATAAAAAAAAGGAAAAAAAAGACAAAAATGAAAAACATAAAACCCCCAATAGAAATTTTGGGTTTGGCCCCCAAAAGGGGAATTATTTAAACCGTAAACCATTCTAAAAAGATAAAAATTGGCTTTAATTTTAAACCCTTTCTACTGAAATATTTTTAAAAGATAAAAGGAACTCGGGGGAAATTTATATACCCCGGAAAGGGTCTTGTTATTTAAAAAAAGAACATTTTCGTAAAAATTAAACCCTTTATACATTACTCTTAATAATTAACCCCCTAAAGTACCCTTTTCCAAATTTTTTAAGGTTTTCTAGTTAAAAAAAATGTTTAAAAGTTTATCGCCCCCGTTTGTCAAGCTTTCATTATAAAATAAGTGTATCAAAGCCTCAAGCCAGGTTCAGACGAATCCCTTTGTAACAGTGGCTGGGCGGCCACGTTGCAATAGTCTTTAGATATTAACCTTTCGTCCTATATTATTCATACATTCATCAACATGAATAAAAATCAAAATGTTCCATAGACTAGCTGACTTGTTTTCAATTTTACTTTTCAAATTTTACTTTATTTATTTGATGTTAAATTAGAAAAGCAGTTTACGAAACAAGATTGAATAAACTTAGGAATGACGTTAAATAACAGTAAAAAAGCCACCAATAAGTAGTTTTGAAATGTTTTTATCATGTAAAACTTGATATATTTAACTTGAACTAAAAAAATACAGTTAAAAAGTTATATCAATTCAAATTGCAAGGTTATGCACTATTTTCAAATGCTTGGTCAGTTGTCATTATCTTTTCATTTCTTTAAATGAAGGAAATGTATCTTTTAATCTTAATGTAAGAAAGGCTTTCATATGTTTTTAATGAAGGTATGGCATGTTTGATTTAATACAAGGAAATCCATTGGAAGAAAAAGGAAACAGTTAGTTTGAAGAAATCAACTAATGTTCACAGCAGTCAAGTCAAAACATATAAAACAGTATTTAGGTATGTAGACTAAAATGGACATTGTTATATGTAGTTAATATTTGTTTGAGATAAACGAGTCTAACAATAATTTAATATCTATAATATATCTATATACATGTAGTTACGTTAAAGTAAAATTGGAATAAGGAAACAGCTTACTTTGCAAATGGTTGGAAGCTTTTTAATATCAGTAGTTTGCTAGCAAATTATAATTTCAAAAAAAGAAAAGCAGAAAGGTAATTTCTTGGTTCAAGTGTTACAAAATCAACAATTCGGCTATTTCAGCTACGACTCATTGTTTGACTTCAAATATTTTTTTACATTTTTGTTAAACTGTGAGATTAGTCAGTCTGTGCTAAGTGAATGGACATGAAATTCAAATAAGTATAAAAGAGTCAAATGTCAACACTTTGATACAAAACAAGCTGTTGTTTGAAAGTGGTTAATGTTTATATATTTTACCTTATTTGCTATATGTGTTGATTTAAATTTAATAATTTGGAAAGTGGTTTAACGACATGTTTATGGTAAGAGATTACTAATGTGTTTTGTATTCATTCCCGTAGCTGTAAGATAGTCAAGTGAAAGAATTTAATTGTATAAAACACGTAAACATATATTGCATATCTATAATAATAATTTTCATAATTATGGCTTTCGTCCATTTTGACTAAAAACTACGTGACCTCATATTTCCTCAAGATTATCTTATCTCGGTCTTGTTGTGATGATGTGTTATGATATCAATTACAAACTTCTGGTATATGGTTGTGGTGTTTGTAGTTACACTCCGGATCACGGCAGTTAGAAACATTGAATGTACGAGATCACAGTTCAGCCATCGCATCGTTCCTGGCCTGGCGGTCAAGCAATTTTCCAGTACTGTTGCCTTCACTTTCGCAAGGAATTGATAACATCTTAATATGCAGGAGCAGAGATACAGTGCGAATGACTGTAGCATGGATTCTTGATCTTTCATAACGAAAGTGACCTGCACCGTCTGGGTCGCCAGATTCACAGTCCAACGCTTACATATTGAGCTAACTGAATGGCTTTTTATTGGTTATTCTTTATTTTACACCTTATATATAACCAATGCACTATCATTTGCTCGAATTGATGTTCCAATAGAAATCATTATTGGGTCTAGCCTTATCAATATAGCCTAGTTTTCAATTCCAGAGTCAAAAATCCATATCAAATTCATATTGCACCCTTCAAAGTCTCATTTTCATTTAATTGAGAGTTCAAAACCATATTAAATACTTATTGTATTAAAAAACAACAACAAAATTCTGTCAAAATGTAAAACATTGTGGTGTGAAACACAGAGGTCATTTAACATACTTACTCTATTTCACTCATAGTAAGCTGCAAAATGTATATCTGAATCGTCTTAAATAGTTTTGCTAGCTTTGCCAGCTGTGTACTTGTTCAATAGAATTCAGTATTATACTCAGCAATGTATAACAACCACATAATATTGAAACAATCATTTATAAAAATTCAAATACTATGCAAACATGATTAAGTCAAAGATTAAAAAAAAAACGTAGTCAAATTTTTACAAACTATAAAATTAAATTGATTTTCCGCTTGCATGTTCAATTTATTATTTGGAGAAGTAACATGTTCATTTCATATGTTTTATTTTGACTGATTAAATAAATGTGGATAGAAAAATGCAGAAATTTTCATCTATTACGTTACAAGAAAATAAATTGAAAATCATGAAATCAATATTTATCATTCAGTTTTATATTATTGCAGGGCACATTATGACATCTTAATTGGCTTATGTGCAAACTGCGTTCATTTTCTCCAGTTAGACAGAAAAGGTGACAGCTGGTGTTGATGTTACAAATCGTACATATTTTGCCTATTTTGATAACAATTTATGTACTCAAATGATGTGTTGCTTTTAAACTGTAGTAACTGTATGTGAGGTTTACCATTTGCGCATTAGGAGTAAACAACAAAAACCAATAAATAACAAATCAGTCAACTGTCTTACGCTATAAGGTGAATACAGCTGCTGTTTTGAAAGAGGTTTTTGTCAAAGTATATTACGCTCCTCGAAATTTCTATGTTTGCACATGTACGGATTTAAATATACGTTATAAGACATGCCTGAGGTATGAAATTATTATTTTTTCTATTTGTTTTTTTAAATAATCATATCTGAGCGATATTGAAGTCGTTTTAAACTTCATGAAATAATAACCATATTATATGCATGAAATTTGATAAATTTAAAAATGCTAATGCACCTCACAGTTGATTCTTTATTTTTAAATACATTATAAAATATTTTAATGCTTCTAAAAATTACTTATCAGTTCTAATTACTTTTGATTAAGTTAATATTTATTTAAACGCAAAAATGTCAAATTCGTTGAACTGAAATGTCTTTTTTCCATGTTTTTGAATTGCAAAAATCCAACAGTAATGTTTGCCAAATGTTTGTGTTTGCGATCGCAAATTCCGATTAACAACACTTATTAATTTACATATCTTTAATATATCTTCTTAAGCAAATAGCGAATAATTATATTAATCTTTAACACATTCTTTATCTAAGTGTAACATAAAGCAGACATAAGTATTAAATGAATATTTAATTAAAAAGTGCAGAGAAATGTTATGCTGAGCCTGTGTTACATTTTATAAAACATATAATTATATCTCCATTTAAAATTAATAGATAGTTCATATACAACCAAAGGTAGTGTAAAACCTTGATAGTTTATTTGACAAATGTTTATCTTTACAGTGAGTGAGTGAGTGAGTGAGTTGAGTGAGTGAGTGAGTGAGTGAGTGAGTGAGTGAGTGAGTGAGTGAGTGAGTGAGTGAGTGAGTGAGTGAGTGAGTGAGTGTCATTCCTATGTTCCTATTAGTCAATAAGTGCTATCAATTATTGATGAAAAATATGTAATTATGTAAGCACTCGCCCTTTATAAATGGCTTTTTTTCAATAATAAATGATAAACTGTTCCCTTTACACAAACTGTGCACTTTATCTGGATGTGATCATTTTTACTCAATGAATTACTTTTTCCTCTCAGTGCTATTCACGCAAACACGCAATCAAAGGAAAACTTAAGATTATACTCTTGTTCATAAATATACACAAATAACAACTATTACCGACATTAAGAACCTTAGGTGCAATACATAAAGTTGCTATTAGATGGATTATATTTTATAGTTTGTAAATACCGTTTGCTTGCTCCGTTTCTTTGCCGATATTAAATTAATTGGAGAATGCTGAAGCAATATCTTGACAAATTATTTCGCAATACCTTTTTTTGCATTGAAGTCCGTAGTTAATGAAGAACGTTTCTGCAGAGTTTTCCTCGACAGTTGTATTTTGTACAACAGGGCGATTAATGATAATTTCGTTTTAATCATATTCCTTTGAACATACAAGAATTGAAAAAAAAAACGGATGAACCTTTTATTTGCTATCTAAGAACTTATTTTCAAACACTTTAACGTTTTAGTCCACCCTTTTAAAAGTAATCATTTTGTTTCGTGACCATTTGACCTCTTACAATGATGTGGTTGGTGTGTTTATGTAGTACGAGATAACTTGTGGTATAAATTAATACAATACGGAATACGAGGACGTTTGCTTAATATAATTAAATCTCATGTAAAGCTTAATAATGAGATAAGTAATGAATTTACATGTATCTTAGGTGTACGACAGGGGGAATGCTTATCCCCTTTTTTATTTTCTATGTTTTTAAATGATATTGAAAATGAATTTATTATAAATGGTTTAAACGGTATTGATTTTGGTTATATAAAGTTATTTCTTATGCTTTATGCAGATGACATTGTTATTTTTTCTAACAGCCCAAGTGATTTACAGAAAGGGCTTGATGTTTTATATATTATTGTCAAAGGTGGAAACTTGTTGTTAACGCAGAAAAGACAAAAGTTATGGTTTTTAGAAAAGGCGGTCGTTTGCCTGGTCATTTAGAGTTTAACTATAATGGTAATATATTGGAAATAGTGAATCGTTTTACATACTTAGGTGTTGTTTTTACAACTGGTGGTGCATTTACAGAAACGCAAACATTATTAGCTGGTCAGGCCCTTAAAGCAACGTATAGGCTAGAAAAGTATTTGTATAAATTTGTTGATATATCACCGAAGCATGTTGTAGATCTATTTGACAAATTAGTTTATCCAATTTTATCATATAGCAGTGAAGTTTGGGGTTTTGCATCTGCAAACTGTATTGAACGTGTACACACACAATTTCGTAAGAAGGTCCTTGGTGTTATAAAGAACTGTCAAAATGATTTTGTTTATGGTGAAATAGGTAGACTACCATGTAGAACAAGATGTTTACTTTCAATTGTTAAATATTGGTTTAAAATTCTACGTTTAAACGATAGGAAATATGTTAAAATAGTTTATAAAGATATGTTAAATACAATAGAAAGACACCCAAATACTCTTAAATTGGGCAAACCAGGTGAAATGTTTATTAAGTCGCTATGGTTTTTATCATGTATGGTTATTTCAAGGACTTGCAAATGTAAATGTGTTTTTAGAATTGTTTAAACAACGCCTGTCTGATGTTTATGTACAAGAGTGGAATTCAAGATTAGAAGAGTCATCTAGAGCATTATTTTATAAAAATATCTCAGATTTTAGTTTCCATCCTTATCTTAACTTTATAAAAACTAAACATGTGCGACATGCACTTACTAGATTACGTTTGTCTTCTCATAGACTTGAAATAGAAACTGGTAGATGGTCTAGACATAGAGTTGATATAAGTAATAGATTGTGTAGACACTGTAATGTGCTTGAAGATGAATATCATTTTGTAATATGTTGCTCTAAATATAATGTTCTGAGAAAAAGGTTAATACCACAATATTATGTAATTAAACCCAGTATGTTCAAATTCATAGAATTGTTGAAATGTCAAAATGAACATGTTATATTTAATTTAGGACTATATATTTATAAAGCATTCAAAATCAGAAATGAAGCTTTGTATCAAAATTAATCGTATGTCTTCTCCAAATACATTACGATATATACAGACATACATTTTGCAGTAGTTTTCAAGTCCCTGTGTGTTTATCCTCTTTTGTAAACAGTATAGTTTTAAAAATGTATAGTCCTTTTCAATTGTTATTATGCAAATAAGTATTTCTTTTAAAATGTATAGTCTGTTTCAAGGCTTATTTGTACTTGAGTATGTTTATTTTGTATGCAATAGTTAACAATCGATGTCATGTGACCTATGTAATTGTATATATTGTAAATATGTTGCCTCATGGACCAGTCTGGTCTACTGGCTTTGTGAAATGAAGATATATATATATATATATGTTTTTTTCTTTGAAAATTTCTGTCATTCAATTATAACTTGAGCTTAGGTGAAGATAATCCCCTTATCAGACATTGCTTATTATTTAACAAAGACTATAAAAGGAATAGAACAGACTTCTATATAATATATTATCTTAAACAATGTTTTAATACATTGATTAATGCAATTTATATTCATTACAAATGTAAAATGAGTTATTCACATTCTTTTAATACAATGGCACGTTACATTTATAACCTGTTAGTTATCATTTGGAACATTATTTCAAATCAATTAAAATAGATACACATATGTTGAGGATAAACAGTTTTGTATGTATTTAAAATAATTAACAGTATATAGATAAGAGGTAGATCGTCAGAAACAAGTTACATGTCTCATATATCTATAAAAAGGATTATATGTATTGTTTTAAGACATACAGAATACCGCAAATTCAATTGAATGAAAATAACAATAGAATTTCCTGTAATTGAATGCTTTCTTTATATAATTTGCCGGACAAACTCCAGTTACTCAAACCCATTTAGTCGTTTCTTATGATCACGCAGGGATGGCTGCAGTTTTGATGTCTCAATCCTTAAAGGCAACCACTCAGCAACAAGGGAAATGCAATCATTACATGGTATTTAGAAAAAAATAGAAGAAAACATCCTGAATGACACTTCATAAATTCAATTTATAACCTGGATTTGTTCAAATATTAAAACAGACTCCAATGTCGTTTCACATACAGGGTGTCGAGGTGATGTTTGTTTAACGTGCCTTTGACAAAGCAGGGCAGGTTCATTGCATAAACTAAGGTAGTGTGGTTTATAACTATTGTTTGTTGATTGTTTACCATTTTAATGTTTTATTTTGGCGTACATTCGAGCATAGTACTAGGAAATCAGTCACAGGCAAAACGTAAGGGATAATAGACCCTGATGAACATCAATAGAAATCAACTTTTGATTACTTTTATTCTTTACTAGATACTATAAGACATTTCTTTTTCTTTTTTTATCTTAAATAAAGGAATGCATGTCAAATAGACTCCCCTTTTCACAGGCTCAAAAATGTCTCATCTTTTCAAACAACACAATCCAGTGATATCTAATAAAGCGTTTATCAAAACATCTTCAGATATACAGTAACAATTTTTAAAAATATAAAACAGTTTTACCATCAAAATTCTTTGCTATAACTGTTTGAATCCGATACATAATGGAATTTGCTTGGCCAGAAATTTTTACTTGCATATAATTTAAAAATCATTTATGTACATTTTGTTTTCATTTTTTAAACACAACCATACCTTTTCTTTGCAGAGCTTGGCTTATTTCAATATACTAAAATTCAGTTGCCTGCACTCTTATTCGAGCCCCAGACCAGTCACATTCTAAGTAAACTTGTATCTTTTGACCATCGATTTCTAATATAGTTCCAAGGATACAGTCTGAAGCAAACCAGATGATACTAAATTTACAATTGCCATGAGGGTTGCCTATTTCTAATACAAGGTTTTAATTTTTTGACATCAGAAGCTGCATCAAGGTAATCCTTTACTTTTAGTTTAAATTTGGTCACTCACATTAAAAGAAGATATTCTAAAGAAATGTAAGTGTTGGCTTTATGAAGATGTAAACCTATTTTAGTTTCAAACTTATTGTCAATTCGACAGTGAACGTTGTCTTTGGCCATATTTACACAAATACACTATATGGCAAAGGCATTTAACATCAATATAATTGTAAACATGTTTACATTTTTCAAATTATACAATCAAACAAA